GAATAGAAAGATATTTGGCACAGAGATTGATTTTAGAATGGAACAGGACAGGACATAGGCTTGTTGTGTTTGGTATATCAAAAAGGGCTTCGCCCCAAGCCGCCAAAGCTCTCATACAAATTATGAGGAGTATTTTGTTGTTTTAAATTCATGCAATACACAATCATGAACACAATTTCATAAAACTGTTTAGCTTCTGCGTATGCGTTATACGTAAAATGTTGTAAATACCCGATTGAAGAAATTGGCAACTGTGGTGGCAACTAGGTTCAATTCTTAAGTTGAACCACCATCAAGGATTTCAAGAAGCAATATTTGTGAATAAGCCAAATTTAAATGATAACTTACCCTAAATATACTTACCTTTTATCTCAAGTTAAACATCGTATAAAATAAACAAAAGCTAAAGGAAAAACTGAATTTTCCCAGAGTGGCTTATTTAACTCAGTTGTACTGTATTTGAATAAAAAATTGGCCACAGCTAGTGAATATAGATGCAATGAGTATTCCAATCCCAATAAATGCAAAGACAAATTAAAATATTATTTATTTCATGGATAGTACAAACGCTATTCGATAACACTGATGCGAAGCTGTTTAATTTGCTCAGATCAATCGACCAGGTTGATTAGGCAGGTAATGAATCGACGCAGGGCTGCCAACTCTAGAAATAACCTCTCAGTAATGGGACGACAGAATGTGAGGCTCATTCACTGTCCAGTCTAGTACTGGGCGAGAGAATCGACCATTCCAATTGAGAAAACATTGGACAACAAATTGAGAAAGTCTAAGAAAGTAATCCCTTCTTAACAGTCAACACAACTACAAATTTAAGGTTGTGTGAAGAAACCAATTGAGGAATCAACAAAAATAATAAAAATAGTTGCTAGGCAACGGTGATACTGATTGTGTATTTAATATGAATTCATGTTTTAAGAAAGTAAGCGGACAGCTGATTTTGCGGCCCTAGGGCCGTAAAAACCTGCTTGGTCCCCAAATGACGATGACAGCTGGCATTGCCAGCAAAACGTAACTTTCAGCCACCAATTAACGTATGTAAAACAGCTAAAAACATCATAGTGTGGTGAAAAAGATTTATTAAATATGAGCATGAGCCCAGAGAACCCCTGCAAGTAACGGACTTTGGAGGAAGTAAACGAGTATACAGAATCGTATACGGATGTAGTAAAAATCAATTCAATTTACGATTCATTGAAATTAAGAAAGTAATCCCTGAAAAGATCAACATTTGGACAAAAGTTTTTTGAATTTTTCTAGGGGTTTAAATTAAAGGATTCAGGTTTAGCAAACACATAAAAGGAAATTATAATTTTAAGGAACACGCTTCCAAAAACTAAACTAGTTTCATATGATGTAGTTAACAAATAATTTTGCTAAAATAATGCATTCAAAGGACTAAGTGGATTAATTGTATGCATTGCTTTGAGAACCTCACATGGGTTCATAGCAAACGCAATAATTACAGGTTTTTAAGTAATTAGTTTTAAAATTACTCAATAACGAACATCAAGCATAAGTCAACGAGTGTTTAAAGATGTTCAAGGTAAAGGAAATGGATTTATTAGTTCGGAACGTTTTCCTTGTCAAAACTTCACACTTGCGTATTCTAAGTAATACTTGTAATGCAGCCTATTATGCATAGCTGGTTCTTATGTCTTTTTTGTGTTCTGAATAATCTTTGTTCTATTATTCTTCATTAATACCTACTGCGAACCGTTGTTGTTGAACAACAAAACCCTGATTTATATGATTTTTTTACTACATATTTTCATCGCAAGTATCGTAGCTTAATGATGTCAATAATTAAAAATCAAGATTTAAAATAGATTTAGCACCTTATGATGACAGACGTTTAATGTATTCCGGAACACATATCGAAGGCGTATAAAAGCTTTATATGTAAAGAAGAAAAAGAATACTAAATCTACACCATGTAGTTTTTCTACCGACCGGAAGTAACAGGAAAACTTGGGTCGTTCCATTCGTTACCTTCCCTACTCAAGTTCCAAACTTGACTTTGTATAAGTCAAGCCTTATCCCAGCTGTCTATGAACTCTACTGCCTATGAACTCAAAGATATTATGCAGTTAACAATTCCAGAAATACTGTATTCGTCAATGATAAAATTGTTTTGACAATTTTTAAATGTAACCGTTTTCCAATAAAAAGTATCTGACAATAAGAATGAATAAGGAAGAGGTCTTAATTGATATTTTTCTATACATTTAGTGGATAAAATTCCATTTAATTACATTGTATTAGCTAATAAATGGCTAAACCCCATACATCGACCCAGCAGATCACTTACAACCAACTGTCTGGCTAAATACCTACTTAATGGCTTCATACTTTACTAGCTAACTACTGCAAGACTCTTATTATTATACACTGATCCCATATCAAACAGAACGATCTATACTTGCACAACTTTTGAAGTACCAAGATACGTATCTTCCCGTAATTCAAAGAACTTTGTTCCCTTAAAGCACACAAATAAACTATTGAGTACGATTTAAGTTAGTAACCTGGAAATATTAGTGTTTTCATGACCAAAGGTACGTCGCTTAACTTAAATTATTCTTTATTCGTTTGGTTTTGTGTGTGATTTAGTTTTTTATTCTTCAGGCGCATTGTCAATGGAGACTGAGCGAATGCCAGGGACGCGAATAGCTCGTTGATGTTCCATTCAGTCCATTCGCTAATGAAACTGAGCCAAGTGTTAAGTATAGGTTAAAAACTCCATAGCAGTCAATAGTAAATTTGTAATGAATATGATGTTATTTTTTACACGCAAGCAAGTTGAATTCGTACAATCAGATGCAGTTATGGTGACTTAAACAATATTGGACTTTGTTGTACAACTTATCGTGACTCTAGGTCCTGAAATGTTTTTGAACCGATGTAAATAATATGTTGTATCATTATAATGGTTAGAAGGTTAACTGATAGGTCCATAAGGTCCTAAGTTCGTCTATAAAAAATAATTTTTAATTAATTTTATTTCATTTCAATATTTTCAATAGTCTCTAAATAGTTCTTACTAAACAATTAGTTCACATAGGTTATGTATGTTCACTGTTATTCTAGCAGTTTATGTAAATATGTAATTTATTATGTAGTTCGGATTATGTAATAATGACTAGATCTACTTTTGTGTATTAGCTTTTAGCCGCAGTGACATATCGGATGATGAATGGTTCACGATCGTATAAATAGTTACACCAATCGGGATTTAACTCTTAACTATAATCCTATGTCGCTGCTGAGACGACATTGTATTAATTAATAATTAGTCCCTGTAGCCCTGTGACAAGTTACTTATGATTGGTTGAGAGGGTGTGTCAGCTGTTCAAACTAAATGTGTCTATTGAGCAATATTCTTTCCTAACTAGCTTACAGATGGTGGATTATGCTTTTTCCATACGATGTGTATAAATGATTATCTTACAACCTCTTTTCCGTACATTGCGTCAAGAGTAATCTTCATATTTTCTATGCAGCACACAAAAGAATCATTGGAGCTTCGAGCAAAGTCTACAGCTACAAAACTGTTTTCCTAACCTTTTGTATAAAATTATCATCTTACCCTACTACACTTGGAAAATCATCCATACTTCTAAGCGTACAAAGTCGAATAATAGTCACTTTACCCATACTAATGTAATAGAGAAATAGTATCCTTATCTCGTAAGGCTATTTAAATCTAAATAAATAATGTTAGCCTATTAGAGAAATAAAGTTCTTTTCGTCCCAACTGATTTGTGCAAAATAGTTATTTATTAATGTAATAGAGAAATAGTATCCTTATCTCGTAAGGCTATTTAAATCTAAATAAATGTTATTAGATAAATACAATTCTTTTCTTCCCAACTGATTTGTGCTAGAATATTTATTATTCAACGAAAATACTATGATGATGGCGTTAATGAATGCTGTAGCCTAATTTTACAAATTCAATTAAATCAAGACAATTTTCATTCCATTGTATTTCAACGTTTGAGCGAACTATTGATTTAATATTGTTCAATAATCTATATTGATTTGATAGGTTGGGTGAAGGCTGTCTAACTTGCTTTGACAAGATATCTGATATTATATGCAACAGTTAAGAGGGGCTCTGGCGTGGCAGTATCCAATTTCCTACCTCTATAATAACATAACCCTACACCTACACCTAGATGTTAGGATAATGATGTGCAAATTGATCAACGATTTCAACATATCATAAATTCCAATGATACCGAATCTTAAGTTCAGTTAATAGTAGTATAATAAGTTTGTCAAATTATGTTTGAATAAAAGTCTGCCAATTAAGTTAACCAGTTTACAAAACATTAATCTTCGATCAGTAATATTCCAACACTTAACATAAAAAATTCAGTTAAACAGCATGTCACAAAGTTAGAAATTGTAAGTAGTACAATATATACTGTATTTTAATTTGTTGGAGTAAAGCAATAACATTAAAGGCTAGTGAATACAGTATACATGTATGCGGAAAATAAGCAATTTAAAATTCTGTTGTTAAAATAAAGAGTCACTAAATTAAATTGCCATTTGACCTAGTGAGCATTTTACCTCGTGACAATTTTATCTAGAGACAATTTGACGAGAAAGGAACGTCGATTACATGAAGATATGTAACTATGTGTATGTGTTAACTACTTTAACACGTCGATTAAAACTTAGACCAAGTGGCACTGCGATTAAGTGTAAAGTCGACCAAGTGGCAAGTCGACAAAGTGGCAAGTCGACCAAGTTGAAAGTCGATTAAGTGGAAAGTCGACCAAGTGACCAGTTGGTTAAGTGGCAAGTTGACCAAGTGGCAAGTCGACCAAGTGGAAAGTTGACCAAGTGGCAAGTCGATCAAGTGGCAAGTCGACCAAGTGGCAAGTCGACCAAGTGGCAAGTCGACCAAGTGGCAAGTCGACCAAGTGGCAAGTCGACCAAGTTGAAAGTCGATCTTATGGTAAGTTTACCTCTGGCTGGCGAGGTATCCCCTTGGCCGTTGTCTTCCCCAGCGTCCGCCGACATCTGGTTGATAGGCATTCTTGGAATTTCTGAAACAAGGAAATAAATATGTTATCGCCTGTAACACTATGTGGATTAATTGCAACTTTTGAAGACATTAAAACTAACGGATTAATTTATAAAAGTACCTAAACAAATTCGATTACTGCTAATGGTTTTGCTAACACATTAGTTAATCAAAATACAAAAATAAAAAAACGTTATTGGCTTTCGAGATTCCAATATCAACGTAATTTAATTTTATGTTGTGCAAAGTCAGTTAATCTTTGATCAATTTAAGAGGGTTCAGCCAAAAAAAACAATAAGAATAATGCAGTACACTAACTTTGTTGATTTTGTTTGTTGCTATATCAAAATCAAATTAATCGATTCCAAGCAATAGGTTCATTTGTGATGATGTACAATTATATAAAAACAATCTAACAAAAACGAGTACAATATTTACACAAAAATATCTAATCAAACTCAGCACATTTTGGTAGCTAAAAAAAATATTACAATCCTGCTTCATTATATTAATATTTTAAACAGATAATTGATTTATTCACAAATTAATTATAAATTAACACGAATAGCTTGTCATATAAGGTAGTTGTGTTTAAGTGTTATATATCGAAGTTCTAACGAGTAATATCAATTTATTCAGTTACTAAGGGAATATAAAGGTATATATCGAAATCCGTAACATTGAAGAATTAAAACACACTTTATGGATCGGAATAATATTGTGGAGAGTATTTTAAAGAGAAACATTTAAAGAGAAGCCGTAGCTTTGGAAATGTACCCAACTAATTGTAAGCCTGGGGCTAGTTCCGTGTATTTGTAGTAAACCCTTTTGTTTGTTACGAAGTAAAATGTCGAGAAAAGAGAAAGGTTGCAAATCGAAGGAAAAGTTAAGTTTGTCCGTTTATTTTCTAGCTTAGATTTATCCTTTTAACGTCATAGTTGAATGAAAGTGTTTATAGGTATGGTTAATTCTATACACAACGCAATTTATTATATTATTCAAACAACAAACAACTCGCATTAAGTTAGTGTCTGCAAAATATTTAAAAACTCATTTTTGAGAGAATTGCTGATCATTTTGAGGCAATTTATTACTTAAACGAAATCTTCTTGACGTTTTGGGCCATCCTACTTATTTAGACGAATTGGTCTAGGATTTCTTATAGTTATAAATGTTGACACACTTAAAAAACATAAGATAAAAATACAAATTTTGGTCAGAAGAATCACAAAGCTGTCTAGCTTAAGATATAGAAATAAAAACAATTGTTTTTTCTTAAAGGGACCTTCTTTTTAATGTTTTGATTATGATCTCAATCCGTCAACCATTTTACCTTCTGTATTTCAACGCTACGGGTTTGAACTAAAAAATTCCACAAACGCAAACAAAAGCTGTTGCGTTGATGCAATAGAAATATTCTTGATATGATTAAACTTAGAATAGGAAAGTATTCTAAATAAAAAACCTACAAAAATATGCCTTCAATTGATCCGAATCAGAAATGAGATTAAGAAACATCCACGTTTTACTAACAACTTCTAGCTGACATTTGTAAGAAAAATCACAAAGTATAGTGAATGTTTCAAGTTCGACTTTCCAAGTCTAAGAGGAACGGCGGAGTCGAACCGCCTGAAGACTTGTAACTTGTAGTTTGAACACATTAGACGAGAGTGCACAGATTACAAGCAAACTTACGCATTATCCTGACTTGTGACGTCACGTCAATGGGGCTTGACGTGTAGACTAATAGGGATATATCTCCACGTTGATTATGAGGGGGGGTTCATTCAATTATGTATGATAGTATGATAATTAACTGTACAGTATAACCATTGCTTATTGTGTTACAAACTTTAAACACTGTATTAATGCTAGTTGGTATTGTGTTTGGTTCCCAATCTACGATAAAACTGTTTAAAAACTTTATGCCAAATTTACTGGTAATTTGTTTTAAAATTAAGACGGATTTTAACTTACACTTTAGTGACAACTTTTGCGAGAAAAAAAACAACAAAAATGTACTACTAATCATTTGAGGAATTTTGTTTGGAGAAGTTATTAAATGCAGATAATCTTCTGAGAAATATACCATTGCGTTTTCATAGATGGACTTTTAACCCAAAAAAGGTTTCGAACTTCAGGGCTGTGATATTATTATAAACCAGTACTTAATACTTATAGCTATGGTGATTGGAGGGATATGAACCTGGGACTTTAAGAATTTACTTTTAGTTCGCTTTTGACAAGGCTCTTCGCTCCCCCCAGATGCCTACTAAACTAACTAGTACTTTAAAACATTATTAGAGTTAAATAATGAAAATACTAACATTTACTTTATCAAAATATAAGCTTCTGCAAAAATTTTCACCCATTTCATTCCTTCAACAAACAAAATTGATGATACATTATAACCATTTCTAGATACAGAAATAGGTTTTAACAAAGGGGAAATCTGTATACATTTTAATACGTTGACATCTAACTTTTTGAATACAAAATTCCTGATTGAACTACAAATATGTTCTTAAACTATATATGTAAAGCACACATAGCTGGGTAATCCACAAAGTAATCCACTGTAATGCAAACATATTACGCTTCACGATTGAAGAATATAATTAGCACTATACAAAGACAAATCACTAGATGAACAAACATGGACCATATCACTCTATTCACCTCCCATTCAAAAACAATTAATGACACTCATTACAGACAGATGTAACAGCGAGATGTACTTAGTTCAAACAAATGACTTGATTTAACGGCACCACGTCGTCCCGCACGCGTCGCGGACTATTACAAAACGATGTACAGAGTAATCCCAGTATATTGTGAAGGGACTGATATTGGACATAGGGGGATATAATTACATTTTTGAATCAATAGCTGACCAAGTTTGGGTACAAGTAGGATTCACATCATGGTGGGAATATTACTTAGAAATGGTGCAAGAAGTAGTAGGGATTCTTTATATTGCTCGCCTTCAAATATGAAGGTCTGTGGTTCGATTCCAAGTGACCCATATCCCATTGTTTATCATTGGGCTATCAATGAATGATGCTATTTAACAAATGGTGGACGTTTGATAGCTACCAGGGTTTGGACCGTTCCTTTTCAAAACGTTGAAAGATACAAGTTATTGTATCTTCCTTTTGACTGAATTGGCGACTTGCCAATAACCCTTATAACATCATCCTTTATATTATACAAACAAAAAATGAATGTGAAGGCCTAATGCAGAAAAATGCCTCATCGAGCCATATACCACTTTTCTTGTTAATATTTTCTGTATTTTAAAACATCCTAAGATCTATGTAAGATGTATTTCCTCAAGTATACTTTGCTGGTCGGTTTAGGGTGAGGCAAGATAGAGACATCTGTTAGCGTAAAACAGCTCATTTTGTGGTAAGTTGAACGTAAAAAGCAGATAATAGGGAGCTAGAGATAATTAATTAACATTTTTTTCAACAAATACATAATATGTATTATTATTCCAAAATTCATACAAGTTGGATTTTCTTCAGAACGCTCAGCTGATCGGTTCAGGGTAAGCCGAGGTAGATATGTTCTGATAGCATGGATCAGCTGATCAGCTCAGTCCGCAGCTAAGGTTGAGCTGAGGAGGCAGATAGCAGGCAGCTGATAAGATGGACAGATGCAGCTATTTCAGAGGAACAATCCGACACTTCCGGTGTTGAGCCCGGGAGATTAATAGCGACTTCTCCATCCTCCTTCAGCTCAACACGCGCTCAGGTGGGGTCATCCACACCTTTCATGTGTTTATTTTTCTTCCCGTAGTGGCGTTTATTGTAAGAAATGCTTCGGGATTGATTATGTAACTATTATCAATTTATTAGGGGATTCACGTTCGTGTGAATGACTTAAGACTGGTTTGTGGTTGAGGGCTAATTTATTGTGAATCAGGGGTGGAATTGTGCAAAACAAAATATTTGTTGGTGTTCCTCAGGGATATGGTTTTGGACCATAACCGTTAACAGTAAATTTTATATGTTAAGGAATGGTCCGACCAAAATTCCGATAATGTTATCAATCAGAGATAATCCTCAATCGTGTGCGTTCAAAACTAAACAATAGCTGATTTTCTCTACAGGGCTAATATATTTATTGTGGAGTGATAGTGGAGGTTTTGCAACGCCAAATACGTTTAAATACGTCTAGCAAAAAAAAAAAAAAAATTCTATGATTTTTTGGACTATTAAACATGAAGATTTCGTTTACTTATCAAGGACTTGCAAAAACATTGTGATAATGCTGTGTTGAACAACAGACAGTGTGATATGAACAACAGTTTATTTAATTTTTTTGGTAATTTATGATTAGGTTTTATAATTTCTTGTCAAAACGTACCATTAACTGTGCTAAGTACAATATAAACACAACATCAACTCTTGTCATTGAATGAAGTTACGCACAGCAATGAAGTGTTTTTAATGATGGGGAGACGTTATATTGATGAAATTCCACACATGTTTGCGACAAAGTTTACATTTGGTGACATAAGTGACGAAATCGGCCCTCAACTACTTACAGACAGACAAGCAGACACTCGCTTATGATTTATAGATACCCTAGACGTTTGGAGAATGTGGCCATCTATTACAGCTAGATAGCAATAATTACCAAAGTTACACAACACATGACAGAACGCTCGGCTGTCGACGTATTTGTCTGCTTGTTTTGTCTGTCACGGATTCTAGCAGTGATATGAGTTTGTAACCAAAGGCAATGCGTGGGTGATAAGTTCAACCAAGGGTAAAAAGCGAGAGAGAACTTTTTATTTTCCTATCATTTGGACTAAAAATGAAAATCCCATAGGTTTCCTTTGTATTGTTATTCTGTCATATCATATTCCAACTGGCTCTATAAAAATACCTAATGCATTAAGGACAATTTTTGTTGCTGAATAGGTTTTTTTGGGATAGACATGTACAGTATGTATTCATTTTTAGAATCACAAATGTTTTGCTCAGACGCAGATATAGAGTTAAGGCGTTAAGG